CAGGCCTTCTGGTCGGAGATTTAGACCACCCTTCTGGCCTGTTGTTTTAGGTACTTGGACTGGCCCAAGAGCTGCACGTTGTTTGCAGCGTTCGTCTGCTGGGCCGAGCCTTTACTGGGAAACCGGTCCATGAGGGACCCCGGGTTTATGAACCCAACATTAATGCTCAAAAGAGTTTAATCTATATAATGCATCGAGAAAGCATATAAATACCAAAGTGAAATCAACATGATGATATCGGTTTAGAAATACCACATGTGGAAACCAATTTGATTTATACCACTTGCAATAGGTGGTGGATATTTAAAGTATGATGCTTAACTCCGGGAACTCCATTTTCCTTGCAATAAGACTACTACACACATGATAAGCATGAAAAGGTGTTAGTCTCAAAGCATCCAACTTGTAGAGTAACCTCCCCCTAAATTTGTGAACACAAGTATGGTATACTTATAGGAGACATGCACATTGATTTTAGAATAAAAAATACCACTTGAAAGATGACATCACATGAATGTGAGAATCATTTTCGAAAGTGATATTCGGGAGAAATTATTTATAATTTGGACTTTGGCACATATTAGATGAACAATTGTAAAACAAGCTATGTGCCGTGCTCCTAAACAATTTAAACCATGTAGGTTTGCTCCAAGGGTTAAGAGTGAAACCGAGCAAGCCTACCATAAGATATACCTAGTGTATGCAAGACAAAAGATTAAAAATGCAAATGCAAACCTAGGCATGGAAAGAAACTAGATGTTAATTGAAATTGCAAGAAATTAAATCTAGTTACCTAACATGGGAAGGGAATTTGGATCCATAGTGTTCACTAACCCACTTGGCAATTGACATGATCTAATGTGATGCACCCCATAAAATGCACCCATACTTTGCCAAGTCTTCAAATTCCCCGAAGTCCATCGGACTGCTCACTTTCCTTTTGGGATCCAAACTTTCTTGGTGCTCTTCATGTTGGAAATGATTTTCTTCGGCACCCAAATGCGTTTGGCTCTATTGTTGGCTTGCTTGTTCATCTTCATGGCCACCACCTTGTCATTTTTCTTCTTCTTCAAGAGATAAGGTGTGGAGGCCTTTTTGTCCACCTTGTTGGTGTAGGTGTTGGAGAGCTTGCTTGTTTCCTTTTTGTTTTTCTCTTTCTTCTTAGCTCCTCCCTAATTCTTCACCTTGCACTCATAGGACTTGTGGCCTTCCTTGTGGCATACATAGCAAACCACGGTTTGTCCTTCATCAAGCTTCTTTACTCCCTTGACGGTGATATCTTGATGAAGTTGGGCTTACTCCGTCTTGCCTTTCACTTGAGTCAAGTCCTTGGTGAGGCGAGCCACTTCTTGCTTGAGTCGCTCATTCTCCATTGTGACCTCTTGTGTGCATGTATCTACAACAACTTTCTCAACACAAACTTGGTTGCACAAGGATAAGTCTAAACATAAATCATTGCAAGAAGTAGAAGCATCCTTTTAGGCACGTTAAAGATAGAACTTTTCTTTTTAGGTGCCTTGGTGAGGGTTGTACCGACGGCTTTAAGATTAGCAACTTTATTAGTTAGCTCATCACAATGTTTGCACATGGTTTCCATTTTAGCAAGCAAACTTTTATAAGCATCTTGTGAGCTAGTTAACTTTTCTTTTAATTTTTCATTTTTCTTTACAAGTTGCTCATCATTGATTGTGCATGCATTTGTTGTTGCACTAGCCTCAAGTTTCTCAATTTTAGTAGATAGTTCAATATTGAGATTAGCAAATATCTCATATTGTTTAAGCAATGTTTTATATGCTTCTTGTGAACTATCTAGCTTTTCTTGTAATATTTTTAACTTCTTTTGTTGGCTAGTGCAAGCCTTAGCATATTTAAGATTTTCTTACATAAGTTCATTAAGAGAAGGCATTTTATCATCACTATCACTGTCACTAGAGGATGAGCTTTTATTATCTCGTGCCATAAGGCACACACGAGAAGAGCTTGATGATGAGTGCTTGTGACCTCGCCTCTTGTGATGGTCTTCTTCTTCACTTGAAGAATCATCCTATGACCTTATTGATGTGAGGGCTTTGTCCTTGCACGCCTTCTTCTTTGTCATGGATGTGGGCTTGTTTGGACAAACTTCTACTAAGTGCCCCAACTCGCCGTATCCATAGCATCATTTCTTTATTTGCTTATTTCTTTGATTGGTGAAGATGAAATTTTGAATTTAGATGGACACACCCTTGACATTGAGCCTTTGAATCATCTTCTCCACCTTATTGATAAGTTTGATTGATTCTTCATCAAGGTCGAAGGTGGAGGGGGAAGATTGATCATCATCACTTGAATCTACATCATCATCATCTTCTTCTTCTTCTTCTTCACTTGAGGAGCTTGAGCTTGAGCTTGTCTCAACTTGCTTGCTATTCATCTTCTTTTTCTCACTACATGCGAGAGCTTTGCCTTTGCTTGATGATGAGGCTTCTTCTTGACCCATCTTCTATGACATTTCAAATGCCACTATCTTGCCAATGACTATGGCCGGGGTCATGGTGCTCAAGTCCTCCATGTTGTGAAGGATGGTGATAATGCTTGCATATTTCTTTTGTGGTAGCACGGAGATGATCTTCCTCACGATGTCCGCATCATCTAGCTTCATTAATCCTATTGAATGGAGCTCATTGATAATTAGAGTCAAATGAGAATACATATCACGAACAAGCTCATCATCATTCATTTTAAAGGAATCCTAATTTTGTTTAGCTAGACAATGTTTTTGTTCACGGACATTAGTTGTGCCATCACGAAGCTATTGGAGTTTTAACTAAATTTCATGTGCCGTATTTAAAGTGAACACTTGGTTAAACACATCATGCTAAAAGATTCAAACAAGCAATTTTTATCTCTAGCATTGAAATGATTTTTTTTCTTCACTCTTTGTAGGTTTATCGAAATTCTTAATGGGTTTCATCCCATCACGAGTGACTCTCTAAACACCCAAATCTACCACCTCAAGGTGACAAGCCATTCTAGCTTTATAGTAGGGGAAGTTAGTGCCGTCAAAGTGCGGAGGCCTAGAGGTATCCATCCCAACCACTCTAAATAGCGTCGGCTCAACGACGGTGAAGCCAAAGGTCCAATTTAAGCCAACCGGCTCTGATACCAATTGAAAGGGGACCGTGACGCCTAAGAGGGGGGTGAATTAGGCAACTTAAAACTCTAACTCTAAACTATGACCTCTTTTTCTATCCTTAGCAAAACATATGCAAAAAGATAAACTATCTAAATGTGCAACTACGGTTTTGCTAGTGTGTTGCTATCTCTACTGCAAAAAAAGTTATGCAAACAATGTAAATGCGGAAGCTAAAGAGTAAGGTAGAGATATGCAAACTTCCATCAACGACTCCGGTATTTTTACCGAGGTATCGAGAAGCGCGCAAGCTTCCTCCTAGTCCTCGTTGGAGCCCCTTGCAAGAAATCCCTCGCAAGGGCCAAGCTCCCGGTCAGGTAACTCCGTGGATAGCCTCGGGCCTACCCCACGTGCAAGTGGGTCTTCGATGTGCCTTCCGGCAAGCCTCTCCTGGACCGCTCCCCGCCGTCTTCACTATTAAGCTTCCGGCCAAACCGCCGCGGGCCTTGTTCCCTTCGGTACACGGTGGCGGCCACACCGATGTACAACAATGGTGCGCGCAAGCATCAGTGGTAAGAGATATGCAAAACTCACTAAACACTAGGCCAAAACCTAGAGCAAGCGCATAAACGGTGGTCTAATCAACCTAAGCACTTCACAAAGCACCTACGCTAATCACCTAATCAATCACTAAGCATTATGCAAGTGCAGATCACTAAAATGGTGTATCAACACCCTTGATATGTTTCATCAGCTCTCCTCATCTCAAATGGTCAGTTGGGGGGTCTATTTATAAGCCCCGTAGAGAAAGTAGTCGTTGAAGGCGAAACCTAGCTTTCTGCTACTGACCAGACGTTATTGTCGTCCTGACCGGACGTGTCCGGTCGTCCCGATCGTTAGAGCGCGCGCATTGATCGGACTCTGGGCCGAGTCCGGTCATCATCGATCGGACGCGTCCCGTTGCGCTAGCGCCGCTCTGGAACCTTTCTGGACTCGATCGGACGCCACTGCCTAGCGCGTCCGGTCGTCCACAGCCGCTGCGTCCGGTCACGCTGAATTATTGCCGCGACGATGAACAGTGAAGTCTGTGCGTCCAGTCATTACCTCGCTCAGCGTCCGGTCGCTGCTGCTGACGCCTGCTGTTGCCGAGCAACTGATCGGCCGCGTCCGGTCACCTCTGTGGAGCTCGTTTCTTCGCGATCATGCGTGTAGCTTGGTTCCCATCTTCATACTTGGACTTTGCTTGAGATCTTAGATCTTCTCTTGTGCTTATAGGGTCTTGCTTATGATGTTAAGCATAGGACCATCATATTACCTTTGTCCAAGTCATGTCTTGCACTCTATTAAACTATAAAACAATTACTTGCAAATTCATTAGTCCAATTTAATTGGGTTGATCATTAATCACCAAAATCTAAAGTAAATAGACCTAGAGTCCATTTTTCTTACCGCACCTTTACGGAACAGTCCCTTAATCTGCCGCCTTAGACCGCTCGGCCACCTCCACTTTTGACTTACTTTATTAAAATATAGTTTTTTATTATTTATAAAAAGCAGAAAACACTATAATTTCAGGAGGAAACAAAAAAAAATTGTGGAGTGGGATTTGAACCCACGCCCTTACGGAACAGACCCTTAATCTGCCGCCTTAGACCGCTCGGCCACCTCCACTTTTGATTTACTTTATTAAAATATCGTTTTTTAATTATTTATTCAGAGCAGCAAGCAATAGGCAAAATATTACTGGTCAACTTGAGCGCTACAAAATCGGAATGAAAATATGTACACGATCGCTGTTGTATTATTTTTATCTAATCTGAAAAGCAGCTAACTGCAATGCACGTCCGGGGTGTAACAATAAAGGTTACCCCAGGGCCCATGTGCTATGCTAATCCTGTCCCCGAGTTAGCTCATGGTCCTTGGATGAAAGCGCCATGAGAGCAACCACTACAGATCTCATGGTAGGCCTCATCCTGGGCTCTTCATGCGTGCATGACTTTGCAAGGTACGCGATCTGGTACAGAGAACACAGGTCATCAAACAGTTTAGCACATAGTGTTTATTCTGTGCAACAGTTGAACAAAAAGTGATTGTGGAGCCGAGTTTGCCTGTAGCACTGACCTTCACAACCGAGTCAATGGGATAGTCACCTCCTAGCCTTGGATCAATCAGTTCCTGAAGAGCTTCCTTGGGGTTTGGCATGCTGAGAGCCTCCTCCTCAAACTGCAAAAAGCAACAAGTAGATTGGAGAAATCAAACATATGCCCACGCACGAACACAGATCAGCGTGCTTTCTGCTTTACATTGTGTCCATTCTTTTCCTTTTCATCAACATCCAAACATGAAAATGCAACTCAAATTTTTACTTGACAACTGTAGTAGCCAACGTAACTGAATGAAACAGGCTTAGAGGAATAAAAGTAAATTTAGGTACAGAGTTCAGATCACCAGGACATATAATATACTTATTCATATTTCCTGAATCCAATTGATGCAGTACCATACATGTTGCGAACATATTCATCAACTTGGAGAATTGTATATTTGTAGTTGTGCACACATTCTGATTGACACTAAGAAGTACCAACTCCAAGCATGCTGATCCTCCCTATGTTCTGAATATTTGAAATGCAATGTTACAAATTGAAAATTGATAGGAGGGATAAATTACCAGATAAGCCAGGCCTTGTGCATCAGTGAATTCTGTTGATCTCACAATAGCTTCTTTGGCTGAAAGAAGTTCATACAGGACTATATCAAAAGCGTAGACATCCACCTTAGGAGAAACCTCACCATATCGAGCATACCTGTCAATCAGACAACTCTTTGGTACTAATAAAATGTAGAAGCAGCAGTTGGGATTGTAAATGGTAGTCTATCAAACTATACTGTGATGTTATTTTGAGTGTGTGCACATTCATGCGAACTGAATAAATGAACAAGATAGTTGATACCCTGAATACTTACTCTGGAGGCATGTAACCAAATGTACCAACAACTCGTAGTGATGGGAGTGACTGTGATGTAGCAGTAGTTCCAATTTCTGAGAGTTTTGTCAATCCAAAATCTGCAACCTGCAAGGTACCACTGGTATTGCACATAAGATGGCTAAAACATGGAAAGATTCATGAATGGTTTCAACCTTTGCTCGAAAATCTTTGTCTATCAGGATATTTGCAGACTTGATATCCCGATGAACATACACTGGAACAGTGTGCTCATGAATATACTCTAGACCCCTTGCTGAATCAAGGGCGATTTGCACTCTACTGGTCCATGAGAGAGGTTCATAACCTACAAGAAATATATGTGCTGAATACTTTAAGGAAAGTGCAATACAGTACTGCAAGTGCAATGTGATACATTCAAATAGCAAAACTTTACCAGTCCCATGCAGATGCTGGCTCAGGTTTCCATTCTCAATAAATTCATAAACAAGGAACAAGCAACTCTCAACACAATAACCAATCAAGCGCACCTGTGGGTACCAAAGAATAATTAAAAATTATTCCAACAGGAAAACATCTGATAGTATGTTACATATTGAAGAAATATAATCTTCTGTGAACTCTAGTCAATTTTATTATTAACTTTCTGAGGGAAGTACAGAAAAACAAAAATATAGTAGGTTAGTAATTAAGATTAGTTCCAAATATGCCTTATCTCTGAAAAATGAAAAAATCTAAGATCACCAACCAGATTCGAGTGATGGACGCATGTCAAAACCTTCAGTTCAGCAAGGAATTCTTGAGATGCCTTTGTATCCATTTTCTTTATGGCAGCTTTCTGGACACAGGAAAGAGAAAGGGAAAATTATTTCACATCACAAGTATACCCCAGATAGACTGCCTCCTTTTATTTCGTTTATGTGCAAGTCCACAAGGGGTCATAGGCATTAGTTGTCTATTGAACTGTCAAGTGCATGTGCACCAACTACATTGCCTATCCATGTTCCACACTGAGAAAAAGTTGAGCTGACCTCGCCTCTAAGCTCAGCATAATAAACAGAGCCAAAACCACCTTGCCCAATTTTATGCTCCATACTAAAGTTGTTTGTAGCATCGGAAAGCTCTTCATATGAGAACTCTATGGATCTGTCAACCTTCATGCCGTCAGCTTGTGAAGCCTTGCCTGGAAAGACATTTAATTAAAAAGTGCATAACAAGTTGACACAAACATATTATTGTGTTTGCCAACATGACACAATTTATATGAGCAAAAAGATAGTATGTTCCTTACTAAGTTAGACCGAATCCTCTGGAGATGAGAGTGATACGGCTTTTCTCATTTTTTGCTGCCTATAATACAGCCAGATGCCAACAATCAAAATAACAATACAGGCTATCACAATTCCTGCTACTGCTCCTCCAGAAAGGCTATTTCCTGTTCCATGTAGTAGAACGCGAGTTAATTGCCTTTGTTTCTGTCAATTGAACAAACCATCCAACTTTGCTTGTCGATGTTTAATATCCTTAATATAGAAACATATCTCACAAAAGTGTACAAGTGTGCCAGCACTGCACAAGGTGATGAACTATCAAAATTCTGAACCTGTTAATATAACGGGAATTAAAGATGATACTTGAAGAGATAACAAAACAATACTCACCCTGATTCCAGAGGGCGGTAATTACTGTCAGCATTTGAAAAAAAAAAACAGTAAAGCATTCCAACACAATTAAAGACAAACTGTATAATTCCTTGCAAAAAAGTGACCAGTCACCAGTCAATTAAATGAAAAAAAACATAAAAAACACAACTGAAAGTTGAGTTGGTCCTCTCACGTCATCAACTAAATAGGCAAATAGCTAACCCAATAACTATGATTAGCATATGAACCCTAGAAAATCTTCATTCTTTTTTTTGTGAGGATCTTCATTCATTTTCAATACATCTGATTTAGCATCTGATAGCCAGGCCCTAGGCATCAATAAGCAGCAATCCAACTAAAAAACACAAGTGAAGTTACCACACAGTAAACATTATATACCAACGAAATGGAATATTTAAGGACTACAATTTTTGCGTGACCAAGATTAGCCATTTCATTGTCAAGTCACAATTGTGATCAAACTAAACTGGATCACCAAGAACACAATGACATGATTATCCTACTCTGAGCTGTTCGCAAATTACCTAGCTACATGCCTACATTACCAAATTGAAATTCAAGCGGGAATCCAACTGCGATATTGCAAAGGAATCAATTGTACAAACCCTTTCGCAATTCATAATTTCACACGATGAAACCAAATTGGGAATTGTACCCTCACCTTTCACTGGGATAAACACGATCCCCTTCCCGGAGGCCCCGTCCATACCAGGATTAAACCTCCTGAGCAGCTCCAACTGCGCACGAGACGAGAACCCGTAGTGCTCCGCCACCGAGGAGAACGTTTCCCCTTCCCAGAGCGGATAGGTGAGGAACAGCCCGTACCGCCGCGACACACTCCTGTCGCCGCAGGAGCAGTTCACGGTGACATTGATCTTCCCAGCGGCGGGCAGCTTACCCGCCGGTTCCGCGTTGGTGGCCGCCAGCCACGAGGCGGTGGTGAGGTTGGCGAATTCCGAGGCAACGTCGCCGTACGTCTCGCCGCCGCCGGAGAGCGTGTAGGGGAACGACCCAGCGAGGAAGGTGGAGGCTGGGTCAGCGGGGAGCCCGAGGCAGGAGCAAGGAAACGGGACGATGACGCGGTACCCGGTGACGATGTAGTTCGGGTCCGCGATGTCGGGGTTGTAGGGGAGCAGCTTGGTGTAGTCGGCGATGCCGAAGAGGGAGGCAGCTGACACCGTAGGGGCAGCTGCAGGTCCGGTGAGGAGGACGAGGAGAGGGAGCATGGCGTGGCTGTGGCGGACTGGGAGCGGAGCCACAGCCACGGAGGAGACTGGGGACGACAAGAGTGACAGAGACCGTAATCGTATCGTGGATTATTTACTGCTAGCTGGTTTGATGTGAAAGAAAAATACTATTTCTGGCTGGAAATTTACGATCGTTTATGAGCAAACGAACAGGCTGTTGAGGCGATGGTTTTGACTCCTACAGTAGATAGAGGGGACAATGCAGCGGGCTCGGTTTAGGGTGTGTTTTCGCGAAACGAAATTTTTTGGACAGTCACATCAGATTTTCGGAACGTCGAGAGGGTTCTCGCGTACTAATAAAAAAAACTAATTATATAGTTCGTCTGAAAACTGCGAGACGAATTTATTAAACCTAATTAATTCATCATTAGCGCATGTTACTACTGTAGCATTTATAGATAATCATGGACTAATTAGTCTTAAAACATTAGTCCCGCAATTTCCAACCAAACTATGTAATTAGTTTTTTTTCTATATTTAATATTCTATATGCCGTAAGATTCGATGTGATAGTTTGGGGTAAAAAATTTTGAACTAAACCGGGCCTTATCGGGCCAAAAAAAACGCACACGCCCGCCAAGGCCGAGCCCATTTATGTGCCATGGTTTGGCATTATTAAGTTAGACACTTGCTCAAGCATCTTTTTTATGGCACTGGATTCCTTCTAAGGGGAAATGTGGTGGGATGTTAAGCGGCAAAGCTGGAAAGGTTTTCCTTACTTTGAAAGTGGAGAGTTTGTTACAGTTGTTAATGTGTTAGATAAAAAAAACTTTTAACAAAACCTGGCCCCTAGCTAATATTTATGGACCTACGCAAGATGAGTATAAAGACCAGTTTCTGTGTGAACTGGCAATATGTGTGCTAACAGTATGCACCCTTTTGCTAATGGGTGGGGACTTCAATATTTTACGCTACAGTGATGATAAGAATAAGAAATTTTTTAATAACAGATTTTTAGAGCTTTTCAATCGTATTATAAATATGTATGAATTGAGGGATTTGGCCCTTCAAGGGGGTAAATGCACCTGGAGTAACAATAGAGCTGACCCAACTTTAGAAAAGCTGGACACAGGGTGTTCATCTCCAAAAATTGGGAGCTAGATTTCCCTTTATGCAACATTAAAAAATCCCTAGATACGCTTTTTATCACAATCCCATTGTGTACAGTAATGATATGGAGTGCAACAAACTACAAAGCCTTTTTGCTTTGAGAATGCATGGTTAAAACATCCCGACTTTTCTTGATCTCTGAGGTTTGGAATAAAGAAGTCAGAGCCAAAAATTATGTTGATAATTCGTGTATCAAAATCAATAGGGTCAAGAAATTTCTTAAAGGATTGGGCCAAAATATAAAGGGTCATAATAGGAAATATAAAAGGTTGCTTCAGGGAGAATTGGGAAAACTTGAGGAGCTGGAAGAAGAAAATGGTTTAATAGCTAATTTGTTAAGCAGAACAGCTGTCATCCAAGGGGAGCTTATGAAACTTTTAGATGAGGAGGAAAGTTAGTGGCATAAAAGAGCAAACTCAAATTGGCTATTAAAAGGTGATAACAACATTGAATTCTTTCATAGGGTAGCAAATGGGAAGAAAAGGAAGAATACCATTTTTTGCCTTCAAGGTGATAATGGTAACATTGAAGGGGATGAACAAATAATTAACCATGCTACCCAATACTATAAGTACCTCTTTGGCCCAGCAGGTAGACCTAGTGTGCAAATGGATCCTCGCTGCTGGGACCTTGAGGAGAAAGTCACTGAAGAATAAAACAGTAAGCTAACTGAAAAGTTCTCTTTAGAGGAAGTTAAGACTACTGTCTTTTCTATGGAAAAGAATACAACCTTAGGGCCTGACCATTTGCCAGTTGAATTCTATCAACACTGCTGGGACATCGTAATAAATGACTTATACCATGGCTTCGTTCGCTTCGCTGAAAAACAGGCTGAAACATTGTTCCAGCTGATTTGTTGTGAGAGAAAAACATTGTTCCAGCTAAAAAAAAACAAGCTGAAAAATACGGATTATAAGACAAGCGAACAGGGCCCATATGTTCAAAGATTTCGAGGAAGGTAAAATGGACATTGGACGTTTTAACTATGTCATAATCACCCTACTACCCAAAATTAAAGATGCAAATAGGATTCAACAATATAGGCCTATTTGCCTTTTGAATGTCATCTTCAAGGTCTCTACCAAAGCCCTTATGCTTAGGTTGGAGAAGGTGATGAGTAGAATCATTAACAAATGCCAATCTGGTTTTCTCAAAGATAGAAACATTATGAATATTTGAGAATAAACAATTTTACAATCTTGAAAAGGATAAAATGCTCTATACTAAAGTTGATGTTTGATAAAATTTTGTAGTAATACAAAAGGATAGCACTCTATATTTACTCACAAAATAAATATGCAGTACAGTGACAGATAGGTGTTAGCGCGCCCGTCTCTGTTTGTAAATCGAAAATGCCCACCAGTTGACCTGCCCACACCTTTGATTATGCTTTTCGTAGTAGTGAATTAGTGACATCTGATCAATCAAATTTGGTCTACATTTATTTTTTGATAACCTTTAAATCTATAAACTTTTCTGACCTCCTACCTATTATTCTACGGGTGATCATTTTAGGTGACTTGTCAATTCTAGAATAACTCTAGTTACAGTTCGTTTATTTTGCAATCGACTAGGTGAAACAGGTCAAAACAATTTTCATCGAGTTTGCTGCGGGTGATCTGTTCAATGATCCGAGCGTGCAGTTCATAGTAGGACCTTAACTACGTCAACTGATGAATTAACCATGACTCATCAGCCGCAGGTCCTAGCAGGACCTTAACTACGTCAACTGATGAATTAACCATGACTCGCACGCATGATAAATCGAATGTTGGAAAGCTACAAAACACTTTGCAATTGATCGGAAAAAAAACAAGCAGCAAATTTTAGATTTCCTGAATGATATAAACGTGACATCCACGTCTGGTCATGAGGCACGAGCATAGAAACATCTAGAGACTTCAGCGGACCGTGCTGTCAAGCCTGCGTGAACCCATTAATTAATCAATTGATTAATCACTGGTTCATTGAACCCTAGTACCCAACAACATCTTGGCAAGCAAACTCTAATCAGGTGTCACGCCCAACGCCCATGGAACACTCTTCTTGATGACAGCAAATGCTCGACCGCGTGCGCTGCACTGACATGGGTAACGTGTAACGAGAACTTTCCAACCGTACGAACACAAGCCCCGTGCGAGTGCGACGGCACGTGTCTAGCGCCCGCTGCTCGCTCTGCTGCTGCTGCCATGGTCTTGACGACCGTCCACTGGCGGCAGCCGGTTCATCAGCGGCAGCCCGGCCGCGACGGCCCGCACGTCGACGTCGCTGCTCTGGAGTATGTGCAGGTACTGGTCGAGGTCAGGGAACTCCTCCAACGTCTCCGTGGCAGAGGACGACGACGACGACGCGGCCGGCATCTGGGGTGACGACGACGTCGCCGTCGCCGTCGTCTGGAAGTTGAGCTTGGCCTTGGCGCCCTTGAACCTGCGCGCGGCGGCGTCGTAGGCGCGGGCGGCCTCCTCCGGCGTGGCGAACGTGCCGAGCCACACGCGCGCCGCCTTCTCCGGGTCCCGTATCTCGGCCGCCCACTTGCCCCACGGCCGCCGCCTCACGCCCCTGTACTGTGCCCGCGCCTGCAGCTCCGTCGTCCCTCCTCCTGCATGCGTACATGTGTATGCACGCATGAGATAAGCGCGCAGGGGGAGGGAGAGAAACCGCGCCGTACCTTGCCGCGGCCCCGGCGGAAGAGCCGCCGCCGCCGCCGCCTCGCCGCCGCGCGGTGGCTCTGTGGCGCAGACGACGTGCGTGAGCGCTGCGGCCACGACGGCGACGTCGTAATCGGCGCGGGCGGCGGAGTAACTGTAGCCGAGAAAGCCGCCCCCTGCTGCTGGTTCCACTTCCACCTTTGGCACCTCTCCGTGCCGAGGAGTGCCGACGCCTCTCTGGCCATGCATGCTGCTGCCTCCCCGTCAAAGCCCATACGTCTCTGAAGGAAGCAAGAAAAGGTGATAAGATAACGATGTGAAGTACAGACCGCTGAGCACCCTATATTATATATGCAAGCTCTCTACCACGGCGATGGCTTAAAAAGAATATAAATCACAGTATAAACGCACACGTTATGCACAGATCCTTATAAATCCGTGCACATTACATCTATAAGTATATCCGGAAGATTGCCCTGTTTTTTTTATACCAGACCTTTTGGGGGCCTCATTGTTTAAGTTGCATCTTTTGTTTTGTTTTTTTTTTAAATTGATTTTCTAACTTTTGGCTTCTAGCTGTTTTTTTTTCTCTTGGCTTTTGTAATAAATTTTTAGCTGCTTAGCACACCAAACTACTCCTCCCAGCATGTTTTCAGCTTTAAATTTATTTCCTCATAAGTAAGCTTTCTAGCTTTTTAAAAGTCAACTCAATAATTGTACTGTTTGTTTTAGCTTCTGATTTTTGACCGGTAGAAGCCAACAAAAAGCTGAACAAGCATGCCCTTAATATTTATAAACTCTAGTAGAAACAGCAAGCAACCTTTAGCAGCAATACTCAAAATGAAGTAACATTGTGGCAACACTACAAGGTTATGTTTGGTTCAGCTTCTAGAAAGTATTTCTGTTGCCACAAGTTAGAACACCCACCAAACGGATGGGGTCAGAAGCTGCTTTTCTAGAAGAAGGTGCTTTCGCATATTACATTTTTGGCAGCACCATGGATCGTGCTTTTGGCTTTCAGCTTTATACTTTTCCAAATATTTGCAAATAGAAAGACGATTTACAGTTGTTTCAATGGAGATATAGAGGGGGTAGTTTCTATTGTTATTTCAACCAAACCGCTTACAGGTTTCCATGCACATAGCTCACAATAGCTTTCCAAAGCTCACAACTCACAACAACTTTTTTACGGTTCACAGCTGAACCAAATAGACCACAAGAAACGATTTTTAGACGTGCCCCATTTGTTCTAGAGGTGGCTCCATAGAAAATTGCATGTAAAAACTGTTTTAGAGATCGCTTGCCTTTAGAAATCGGTTTCTGGAGTCAATTGATGTTTCCAACCTCTATTTTCAGAAGCGTCTCTAGAAATACTATTCTAGAGATGGTTGGTGCTATAGACAATCTCTAGAAACTGAGACATTTCGCACGATCCAGTGTGCTTTCCTACTTGGTGTAGTGGAAGGAGAAACTTGCATAAGATAAATGGTAGAAACTGCATGCATGTGTATATTTTCGCAGGATCGCAGTGCTTTCCTAGTGGGTTTCTCCTAGGAGGCTAGATTAAAAACAAATTGGCCACTTTTTATACCAAAAGTTGATTATATTTTTATAGGTGCTCTTGAGTAGAGGCAGCTGAAGAAATCACATCTATAAACCGATTTTGACCGTCTCTGAAAACTCTTTGGAAGTAGTGTGTGATCTACAAGGACACTGCTAATGACAGGGAGGCTGTTACATAATCTCGTGAGCCGTGAGCCCGCAGTGCAAATCGTCCTTACGTACAAGCATTGCCAACACATGAAAAATTAAGCGGTCGAGAGAAGGGCCGTTGTCTTGTCTTGATGCGAACACTGAAAAGGATACAGATACTCCGTATGAGGCTGTGTTTAGTCGTAGGAATTTGGATTTTGGGCTACTGTAGCACGTTCGTTTTTATTTGGCAAATAGTGTTCAAACATGGACTAATTAGACTCAAAACGTTCGTCTCGTAATTTTCCACCAAACTGTGCAATTAGTTTTTCTTTTCGTCTACATTTAATGCTCCATGCACGGGCCGCAAACATTCGATGTGACAGGTACTGTAGCAAATTTTTGGAAGTTAGGGTGGAACTAAACCAGGGCTGAGATATATATGTTACGTGCAACGATGCAAGTTGTTGAGTGGCAGCAGGAGAAGGGAATCAAACAAGTCGTCACAAGTGGGAAAAAACGGACGACAGGCTCCGGCAGGAACTTTCGGTGCAGTTTCGTCTCGGCGAAGTCAGAGACCCGACGACATGGATGTTCACACTCAGTCGTCGAGCTATTGCTTAGGAGGAGACGAGACACGAGAGCAGCAGGTACCTGTATCTCTCGGCATAAGCACGTACTGGTTCATCACTCTTCATCAGTGATACGATCGTCATCCTTCTGGCTGTTGATGCTGCCTGCGTCAGTGTAGGGTCGTGATCTTCGAGTACGCAAGATGGTTGTAACAAAATGCATGTGAACGTTCGATCAGCAGGAGTAGTTTTAATTAGTCTCGGATTAGTTAAGCTTGGCGGTAGCTGTCGTGATGGCAGGTAGGAGGCAGACGCTAATCATGTAGATTAATTGCTTGTTTTCTTGAATCAAGTCTCAAGTACATGTACATTCACTTCTACGGATGAGTGAGTACAGATGCTGACACACTAATATACACCCATATAAACGCAAGTACATAATGTACTTTTATCAGCATCTCCAGAAACCGGACAACGATTCCTGTTGGACAATCTTCCTTGCGTAGTACGTTCTTCATTCAGGGAAGTAAAGTGTCCCCTGCGAAGATGCTGGTCAGGTAGCTGCTGGTTCATGACTCCACAGGTCAAGAACTCCGATCCGGCCTGATGAGCATGCAAGAAACAGGATTCGGGACTAGGGCCTCGTTTAGTTCGGCCACCGAATTGGGGCCGCCGAATTTCCGGCGGTACTGTAGCCACAGTACCATTTTGTTTTTATTTGGTACTTGTCCGATCGTTGACTAATTAGGCTCAAAACGTTCATCTCGCAAAGTACAACCAAACTGTACAATTAGTTTTTAATTTCGTCAATATTTAGTACTCCATGCATGTACCGCAAGTTTGATGTGACGGGAAATCTTCTTTTTACATAGTGTCAAATTCTGGAATTGGAGAAACTAAACCGGGCCTAGGAGTCCTTCTGGCCTAACGTGAGGCTTTTCCACTGCTGCAGTTTGAGCGCGCAGAAACATGTGTGCCCTAGCGCGTGAACTGTAGTCAAGAGCTCCGTTCGTGTTCTCACGTCGACTCCATTTCGTTTCCCGTTTCGTGCTACTCCTACCTTACAAGTTACAAGTACAAAGATGAAGAAGAATCTTGACACCGGCAGTCCGGCACACATGTTTAGGGGCAAACACTTTGGAAACTTCTTTGTGTTCACACCGGCCATGCCCCTTGCGGCCCAGTACGTAGAGCAGGTCCGTGGGGCCTTCTTGGGCTTGGGGAAGAAGTACGGCGCATTTTTGTGTGTGTGTGAGAGAGAGAGAGGAGTCCGACGCATGGTTTGTGTCCTAAAACAAATGTCTGGGTTTGGCCCAGGATTAGAAGCTTGTTCCTATGGAGAAAGTTCTTTCGACCCCTTAACTTTTTTTCGGTCGTTCGATTTACCTCTCATATCAATATTTATACCTAATAATAATAATAATAATAATAATAATAAGGCAAAATTTCAGTCTAATTTTTTGTCCGTCCATTTTTTTGGTCCGTCTTCCTCTAACTACCGAACAACGGAAAATTTCTTCCGTCCGGACTTATATATATAACCCGTGTTCATAGATTTAGAATAGCTCTTGTCTAACGCAATCGGAGTCCGATTCCAAAACGTATTGGAACTCAGACGTATGTCCTCTGCTTTCTTTTTTTTTAGTCTGTGAGTTAGAGTAGGAGTTTGTAACTATTTTCTTTTTATATTTCTTTTTCTATCTCCTTTTCGTTTTTCTTTTTATGTTTTTCTTGTTTTTGCCTGGGCCGGTGTAGATGTTTTCTATTTTATTTTTTATAGTCTTTTTATTTGTTTGTTTTTTCTCCATATTTTTTGGTCGGCTTAATTTTTTTCCCTCAAAGCAACCCAATTGTATTTGTTTCTTCGCTTCGAAAATCAAGAAAGGCATGACGAAAATGAAGTTCAAAATTCCCTCAAAAAATTGAACACATTTTGTCATGTTGAAACACGGATGCAGACAAACAAAATATACACATATGGGACAAAATTGAACACAATTTTTTTGTCATGTTGAAACACGAAGAACGTATTAGACACGAAGGCCCTGTTCGCTTATGTTATAATCCGTACTTTTCAGCTTGTTTTTTTAGCCGGAACAGTGTTTTCTCTCACGACAAATTAGCTGGAACAGTGTTTCGGCTTGTTTTTTCAGCGAAACGAACGGGCCGAACAAAATATACACACGCATGGGACGACGTGATATCACGCGGGGGAAAGAATCAAGAATGCCACCCTTCTCGTAAAAGAAGCTAAGAACCGGGAAAGGCCTCCTACACTACATCGCCGCTGATGTGGTTCAGCGTGTTCGAAAGCCATTCTATCGAGGCAGCGTCGTTTTATCTGTTGATGCCGAAGTTGACCGTCACGAGCTCCAAGTAGCCGGTGGACCTATCATTTTGCAAGGTCATAAAAGAGAATTTTTTAAAAAAACGTCTATCCATGACCTTGCAATAATATAATAATACGAGGGGCTTTGTCCACGGATAGACGTTTTTTTTTAAAAAAAAAATCTCTTTTATGACCTTGCAAAATGACAGGTCCACCGGCCACTTGTTCCTACGACGTTCTCGGGGGTAAGGTGCTACTGGAGCTCGTGACGGTCAACTTCGGCATCAACAGATAAAACGACGCTGCCTCGAAAGAATGGCTTTCGAACACGCTGAACCACATCAATGGCGATGTAGTGTAGGAGGCCTTTCCCGGTTCTTAGCTTCTTTTATGAGAAGGGTGGCATTCTTGATTCTTTCCGCCGTGTGATATCACGTCGTCCCATGTGTGTGTATATTTTGTTCGTGTCTAATACGATCTTCGTATTTCAACATGACAAAAAAAATTGTGTTCAATTTTGTCCCATATCTGTATATTTTGTTTGTCTACATCCGTGTTTCAACATGACAAAAAATGTGTTCAGTTTTTTGAGGGAATTTTGAACTTCATTTTCATAATGCCTTTCTTGATTTTCGAAGGAAGAAACAAATACAATTGGGCTGCTTTGAGGGGGAAAAATTAAGCCGACCAAAAATTATGGAGAAAAATAAACAAATAAAAATACTATAAAAAATAAAATAGAGAACGGCTACACCGGCCCAGGCAAAAACAAGAAAAACATAAAAAGTAAAATGAAAAGGAGACAAAAAAAGAAATATAAAAAGAAAATATTGACAAACTCCTAAAAAAAGAAAGCAGTGGACATATGGCTTATGAGTTCGGGTCACATACACGTCCCAATACGTTTTGAAATTGGACTCCGATCGCGTTAGGCAAGAACTATTCTAATTCTATGAACACGGGTTATATATATAAGTCCGGACGGAAGAAATTTTCCATTGTTCGGTAGTTAGAGGAAGACGGACCAAAAATTAGGCTAAAATTTTGCCTCTTTATTATTAAGTATAGATATAGATATAGATTATAGAAGAAATGTTGATTTAGATGAACATGGATTCTATCCGTGAACATGGTCAAATCCGCTCCGAGGACTATGTATTGGACATGGACATGTGGATTCGGTCTTTGTATCGAAATAAGGTACGACATGGACTCATGAGATCTAAATGGATGATGATTCGTATCGGACATTGACGCAGATGTTGCAGTCTTTTTAGGTGTAGAAATCGCAGAGGAGGGCTTCTGCCCTCCCTAAACGGAGTCAAAGCTATTTTGGTGCCCGGAGCCAGAGAGCCAAAAATTAGCTCCGCCTCGACTCTGACTCCGACTCTGACCACATAGCACTTGGCACAAAGCCATACCAAACACAGTCTTATATTAAAATAAATTATAGCTATTAGGTTTTCTATCTAAAAAGGATAAAAATAAATAGATATGTGCTATACCATCCGAAATTTTCATTAAAAATTGATAGCTTTTTTTCCTCCCGTTGTAACGCAAGGGCATATTTGCTAATTTATAAAAACCGGTTGTTTGACCCTCTTCAACTTTTAAAATTATTTGTTTTTTTTTCACTCTGGCCGGTCTTCATGATAGTTTTGCTGATGTGCCGCCACGACGAGGGGGTAAATCGGACTAGAAATATATTTTTAAAAATAAACTAAAAACTAAAAAAATTAAAAATTTATCCAAATGTTTTAACATGGAAAAATAATCCAATTAAAAATCATAAAATTTGGCTCGCTCTTAGAAAATTCATATAAATTATGTTTCCGCTTGGAAAATTATGAAACAAGCTTCGATTTTTTTTCTAAACGGTCTTATGATGCCTAACTCGAAATGGTTTGAATCTTGATGGACTCATTTTGGTGCTTATTTGCTAGTAGAAACTTTCGTTATCTATTAAAATTAGATGATGTTGATTGTCCGGATTACGTAGAAGCACTAGTGGAGCATCATTACACTGTAGTGCGCTAGTACCCTGCCCAAGATAAATTTTTAAAGTAGTTGTGTTAGCTTGTGTTGTTGCATGCACCTTGCCGCATATATGCTTGCATGCAACCTTCGCTTAATACATTTAATTAAGTTTTACGAACTACTGAATTTAATTAAGTTTCATTGGCTGCTAGGTAGTCCGGAGGATCAACATCGTCTAATTATAATAGATAACGAGGGCTTCTACTAGCAAATAAGCACTAAAATGAGTCCATCAAGATTCAAACAATTTCAAGCTAGACACCATAAGATAGAGCATGATTTTAGAGAGAAAAAAACTAGTTTCATAACTTTCCAAGATAAGCCAAATTTTATGATTTTTAATTCCATTATTTTTTCATGTAAAAATTATTTTGATATTTTTTGTATTTTTTTATAAATTTTTGGATATTTTTAGAAACATTTTTAGTCCGATTTATCTCCTATGTGGCGCCACATCAGTAAACCACTGTCAAGATCGATGAGGCTGCAAAAACAAATGGTTGTAAAAGTTGAAGAGGCTCAAACAACCAGTTTTATAGATGAGGGAGATAAATCCGACAACGGCAAAATTAAAGTTGAGAGGGGTTAAAATGACTTTTTCCTTTCCCTAGCTACAGTAGCTCGAGTGTCTTGTTAAGATCGAACCGTTAGGCTGACCATCATGCTCCGGGCGTTCACTACTGGAAACTACGAGTTTCCCTAGAGTTCAAATTCCTAGGAAAAAGCCTTAAAATCGTAGGGAACCTGATCCCCTACCGTATTTTGTAGGGAAACAGTCCTAGGGAACATATTGACGGGAAATAGGAAGGTGCCCTACAGTTTGTCTGGGAACCGTAGGGGATTCTGGTTTTCCTAGGAAAAAGGCTCCCTAGGGAACCTGCTGCGCATGCTGACACAAGAACACAAAACAACGTGTAAAGTTTGTCCCTAGAACTTAAGTTCCCTAGGAAACTGATCTGTAGGGAACTAAATCTGGCATGGCACCATATTTGACCTCAAATAATTCTAATGATTTCATATACAAAATTTAAATTTGAACACGTTGACAACCATCAAAGCCAATAATTTAATGCATTCAAAGCTCAAGCGATTGCATTATCACATTACAATTATGGTGTTCATCGATAATAGTCTGTCCATCTAACGATTAATCACTAACTCAAATGGAGTTGTCTAATCCATGCTAGTTTTGGCAATGAATATAGGTGCCATGTTTTGGCGACAAAAGATAAGTGCCATGTTTTGGCAAAGATAAGTTTTCGAGAAAAATGGAAGCTCAAATTCGGTCGGAGGAGAGTAGTTGCCACCACCGCTTGTAGTTCCCTGCATTTTCATGGCTACGGAATCTTCCTTGAGCAATCCTACTCAATGTTTCTTCAGGACTTTCTATCCCAAAGACAAGAGCCACCGGTACAAGCCTATTCAATTGAACAAATGGGATTTTATTAAATATAAGTGGAAACTTCATGGTAAACGCTATGCCAAAAAAATAGGTTCAAAGATACCATTTGAAAATAGGTCTCACAAGACTAGCCGAGATGTGTACAACAGATTAACATTAATAAATAAAAGATGGAAGCACACCATGTAATGGAAATTGGAAATCAAGATGCTAATGCTATGGCGGACATGTATTTTTGCTAGAAGAACTGCACATCATTTGCACTCTGACTCTCGTGTGCACGTGAGAGAGACAGAACAATGGATAGAAGGCAAATGGTGTGCAAAGAAATTACCTACAAATAACTGCAGTCAAATCAAACATATAGTATAGTAATACATAATGCGCAGGGCAAATGTAGTAGGATTCTGACCCTACAAATAAGCTGCGAGATTGCAGCCCTTCAAACCAAGCAATTATACAAAGACAACACACAAAAGCAGTACAATTAGACTTACATCATTAGGAGATGGATTTGAAGATGGTACATCGGCATACACAGGAGGCACAGGTGGTGGAGGGATGGGAGCAGGAACAGATGTGAAAGGCAAACCATTTACCTCAGCAACTCTCTACAGTTCAATAATCAAATGTATATGTATACTGATTAACATGTAACTCAAGTGGCAATAAGATGGATAGAAAAAAGATGCATGTGAGACGTCACCTCCATAAATTTTTGCATGCTCTCAGTGTAAGCATGTACCATTGTACTCCACGCCGACACATTTTGGGCATATTCCTTGGCCACACGACCATCATGAGCTTCCCTTCTTAATCGCTCATCTTCCTCTTGGCGTTGACGCCTAGCAGCCATTGCAGATTCACGACTTCTCCTTAAGTCAGGGAGGACTTCTTTGTCATTGACCATCCCATTAAATGTAGCCCATTTTCCATGTGGGCGGCCACAAGAGCATTGAAAGGATCTAACAATGCCTAGAGGGGGGGTGAATAGGCGTATCTAAAAATTTACTGCAAAGGCTAAGTTTAATTGTCAGTCACTGTCGGAAGTCCCGACGTTTGGGTCGGAACTCCCGACGTTGTCAGAAGTTCCGGCGCAAACGTCAGCAGTTCCGACGCCTACGTGAACTACAAAAGCAGTGCCAAATTTAACTTTGCGGATAAATGAACTTACAACCTTTCTTCCTAGTGGTTTGGTGAAGATGTTGGGTCACTCTCTTGACGCCGTAATGCCTCCAAACCGTAGATCGAGTCCAAACCCTAAAATGGAAATTTGGGAGAGAGAGAGAGACAAACATATACAAGTAATATCTAGCAATCACAACAACAAGCACACGGGACACAAAGATTTATCCCGAGGTTGGAACCCCACTAAGGAGCTCCTACGTCCTCGTTGTTGAGGTGACCACAAAGGTCGGAGTCTTTTCCACCTCCTTGCCTCTCTCTAAGCGACCACAAAGGTCACTTGAGCTTTCCACTAAGAAATCGAGGGTAATACAAACTTCCCGAGGATCTTCCACAAGATGGAAGCTCTTGGGCGACGCTTAGCCGGGCTAGGGGTAAAACCCCAAGAGTAATAGACGCATAAAATCAACCGGCTTGACGAAGAAATCAAGTGCTCAAGCTTTCCAAAGTGATGCTCTCACTTAATCCACTCTCCTTTCAATCAAACCCTAAGGGAATTGAAGATTGGAGCAAAGGGGAAGGAGAGGGTGCTTTGGTTGCTTGGGAGAGCGTTTCAAAGACGAAGTGAGTCAATCTGTGAAAATGAGTCCGTAACGGTTAGAAGTGAAGAGAGGAGTATTTATACTCCAAGTGAAAATCAACCGTTCAGGATCTACGCGGAAGTCCCGACGCAGATCCCGGAAGTTCCGACTACAACAGAAAACCTTTGTTCACAACGAGTCAAGTCCACGGAGAAAGTCGATTGTCGGAACTCCCGGCAAACGTCGGGACTTCCGACGGTCGGAACTCGACGACGATCGTCGGGACTTCCGACGAGCACACGATTAATCAAAGCAACCAAGATCGCCGAGGCCGGACTCCGGCTCGGGTCAGTCGATGTCGGAACTCCCGCAAACGCCGGGACTTCCGACGGTCGGAACTCCCGACGATCGTTGGGACTTCCGACGAGCACGATTAATCAAACGGCCAAGATCGCTGAGGGCGGGACTCCGGCTCGGGTCAAAGTCGATGTCGGAACTCCCGCGAACGTCGGGACTTCTGATGGACGAAACTCCCGGCGAACGTCGGGACTTCCGACGTGCACAGACAGCGAGCAGTCAGAAGCACAGGTGCCGGGATTCCTGGCAAAGGTCGGGACTTCCGACACCGAAAGTCACAGAAAAAAATATTCTATGTGCTCGTGAAGTGCTAGAGTGACACACGATTGATTTTATTTAAATGCTTGAGCACTCTATCTTCCTCAGACCAACTAAACTTGCATCCCTCTTTATAGTGCGGCGGATCCTAAACTCAAAGACAAAATTTAAAACCTTTGGAGATCGTTTTGAATTCGTCCGCCTTTACAACTTCAAGAATTGAGGGATACCATTTCATCTTTATCAACTCTTTGAATCTTTCATGGGACTAATAGCTGCAACATATCTCATTAAGATCACATTAGTCCCTAATTTGAATGTCATCAATACACCAAAACCCACATAGGGGGCAAATGCACTTTCAATCTCCCCCTTTTTGGTAATTGATGACAACCAACTTAGGCTTTTATAGAAATGAAAGAATTTAAAGCCTTTTGAACCCCAAAATTTATGGAGAGCTCCCCTTGATGTATGCATGAATTTGAATTTCAATTAGAATCATCTATACATGATTTGCATACACCGAGACTTAAAGCTCCCCTAAATTTTGCAATCCGTGGGTTGCAACAAGTGTGTGTGAACAAATAAGTATCGGTGAAAAGAGATGCAATATGACATGTTATTTCACACAACAAGTAAATATGATGGCCAAGATTTCAAAGTAGAAACTTGAAGCAATACATGGCCATACAAAAACATCCATCATGACAAGTAGAGATAAGCACAAGCAAATAAGATAGATTAAAACATTACTTATCCTACAATCATCCATCACACACATATAAATAGATAGTTGTCCATCACACGGTTGCCACACCACGACAAAGTTCATACACGCTAAAGGTTTTAAAGTTCCCAAACATAAAGCCCAACAAACTTATTACAATAAATCAAAGCCTAACACTCCCCCTTTGTCAACAAGTGCCAAAAGGGGTAGGCCGCATGAGAAATCAACTACTCATCGTCGGAGTCATCATCTTCTCCTTGGTCACCTTCCTCACCATCGTCGTCGTCTTCATCATCTTCTTCCTCTTGATATTCCTCATCCTCTTCAGTTGCTTTCCCCTTGCCATGCGGGCGAGAAGAAGCATCATCGTCGTATGCCGCACAAGCCTCATCATATAAAGCCAACGGATCACGAGGAGGCACAAATGGCGGCGGAGGGAAAGACACAATGCCTGCTTGCTGTTCCAACCGATATAGCCTCTCTTGCATGTCGTTCTCACGCTGAGCACTAGCACAACACTGTCCAAACATGGGAGATAGAGGAGTAGAGAGGAAGAAAGAATAGAGGCAAAACAAGAGGTACATTGGAGTTAGGGTTCGACACCACGGTAGTACCTTTGATCGAGAACGGAGGAGACGCAAAAGAACGAAATCGCAGGCTAGGAACCAATCCACAAGCGCAGACACCTCCACCAAGGGAATCTTCTCGACACCAACTTCAAGTCCACAGCCGATCCGAGGAAACACAAGGGCACAGGGCGGTGGAGAGGGGTAGGGGCGGGACTACCGGCAGGAGGACCGGCAGGGCAGAGCGGGGAGGAGCGAGGGCGATGGTGCGATGGCGGCGGTGCGAGGAGAGATGGCGGCGGTGAAAGAGGGCGACGGGGTGAATGAGAGGATAAGAGACCGGGCCGGGTAAAAAGGAAATGGGCAACCAACAGGCGTGGTCAAAAACGCAGATCTGCTCGGCGTCGGAACTCCCGGCTTACGTCGGGACTTCCGGAGATCGGGACTTCCGGCGTATGTCGGGACTTCCGACGCAGGAGAAACAGAAAAACCCTCAGCCTGCACTCACACTGCTATGTGGGGCAATAAAAAACGATGGACACACACATTTTCATAAGGGACTAGATTTCATTCAACCATCACAAAGCAATAGTCACTTATGAAAATTACAAAAATAGATTTTGAAAATGACACACAATGTTTTCTAAGTCTTTTCGCCTAACTAGATGAAACAAAATGTGTGTGCAAGGAATCAAGCCACGTTACGAGAATCAATGATATTTAGTTCACTCCTCAAAGCACAAAATCTTGACTCATCTAGAGCCTTGGTGAAGATATCGGCTAATTGTTTTTCGGTGCTCACATGATGAATGACGATATCTCCTTTGGCTTCGTGGTCTCTCAAAAAATGATGACGGATGTCTATGTGCTTTGTTCGAGAGTGGTTTATAGGGTTGTTTGCCAACTTAATGGCACTCTCATTGTCACACAAAAGTGGAATCTTGGTTAACTCACATCCAAAGTCCTTTAGAGTTTGCTTCATCCAAAGTAGTTGGGCACAGCAAGCGCCGGCCGCCACATACTCGGCTTCGACGGTGGACAAAGCAACGGAATTTTGCTTTTTAGAGCTCCATGATACCAAGGAGCGACCAATAAATTGGCAAGTCCCGGTAGTACTCTTTCGGGTTACTTTTGCAACGGCATAATCCGAATCGGAATAGCCAAGTAACTCAAAAGTGGAGCCCTTAGGATACCACAAGCCAAGATTAGGAGTGTGCACTAAATCCCGAAAAAATTCTCTTAACGGCCATCAAATGACATTCTTTCGGGTTAGCTTGAAATCTTGCACACATGCACACGCTAAGCATAATATCGGGCCTAGATGCACAAAGGTAAAGGAGTGATCCAATCATGGAGCGATATACCTTTTGATCGACGTCCTTTCCTCCTTGATCAAGATCAAGATGTCCATTGGTTGGCATGGGTGTCTTGATGGGCTTGGCCTTGTCCAAGTTAAACTTGTTCAACATGTCATTTGTGTACTTGGTTTGACTTATGAACGTGCCATCTTTGAGTTGCTTGATTTGAAATCCAAGAAAGAACTTCAACTCTCCCATCATGGACATCTCGAACCTATTTGTCATAATCCTACTAAATTCCTCACAAAAAGCCACATTAGTACTACCAAATATTATGTCATCGACATATATTTGGCAAACAAAGATATCATTATTGACTTTGCGAGTAAATAAAGTAGCATCGGCCTTTCCTATCTCAAAACCTTGTTTGAGTAGGAAATCCTTTAAACAATCATACCAAGCTCTAGGGGCTTGTTTGAGCCCATAGAGTGCCTTGTCGAGCTTGTAGACGTGGTTTGGATACTTGGGGTCTTCAAAGCCCGGTGGTTGCTCTACATACACCAACTTTCGGATAGGGGCCGTTGAGAAATGCACTCTTCACGTCCATTTGATATAGCTTGAAGTCATGATGAGCGGCATAGGCAAGTAGAATACTGAATTGATTCTAGCCTAGCCACCGGTGCATAGGTCTCCCCAAAATCCAAGCCTTCAATTTGAGTGAATCCTTGAGCCACCAACCTTGCCTTGTTCCTTGTTACCACGCCATGCTCATCTTGCTTGTTGCGGAAGACCCACTTGGTTCCAATCACATTTTGCTTGGGCCTTTCCACCAAGGACCGGACTTCATTCCGAGTGAAGTTATTCAACTCCTCTTGCATAGCTATCATCCAATCCGGATCATCAAGTGCCTCTTCCACCTACGAGGTTCCAAAGGAGAAACAAAC